TAGGAATTTACCTACAATGGTTTGAAAATGAAAGCTGAAAACTTCTATAAATCTATTAAAACAACCCTATTACTGAAGCTTTTCAATTCATAACCCAACTCTGTATGGTGACTAAGACTGGTTGAACTGGTAAGGCCAATTAATTGATGCCAACAGCCTTTTTTTCAGTTTCAGACATTTTCAGCATTTTTTTCCCTCCTCAGGTACTAGGCATTGAAGCCAGGGCTTTCTCACTAAGCTTCAACCCCAGCACTTTAATTTTTTGAGACAAGGTCTCCCTAAGCTGCCCAGGCTGGCCTCTAATTTGTGATCCTTCTGCCCTAGCCTTCCAGACTGCTGGAATTAAAGGCATGTACCACCATGCAGGGCTTTGGCCCTCTTACTGAACACAAAAAGTTAAACACTATCACTTCGCAAGAAATAGCCTTCCCCTGCAAAGCATCTATAAACTCTAAGACTTGAGAGGCTCTCAAAGAATACCGTATTCCCCCACAATGTTGTCACATCTGCTCCAATCATTAAACCTGAGAACTCCGTATATTTCCTTTACTTAACAGCTTTTACATCTAGATTCAAAGATGACAACTTGCCTACCTTCCTATGTCAGCACATTTGAATTTATTTAACTTCCTACTACCTAGCTAGCTGAAACATAATTTGGTGACTGTTAATTCTAGAATTTTTTAAAAGTGTTTTTGTTTTGTTTTGTTTAGGTTTCCAGTGTATATTTAAAAATACAACTTCTGAGGGGAAAATTAAGACTAACAAATTCAAGAGCATGATTTATGATGATTATAACTCCTCACAGAAGTAGAGTTCAGGGTAGCCATATGCTTTGAGTCACATGGCCAAAACCCAGACATCAAAGGACTGCATGTTTAAGGCGAGTACTGTATAGTTGTGTTTCAAAACAAACGGTCTATTTCACCTTGCACCATCTCTCCTCTAGCAAGCCGGTGTGAGCTGGGAAACGACAGGAGAATTGGGGGGGCGGGGATCTAAGGTACACTAGAGGATGGGTGGCGAAGAAGTGCACTAAGATGCAGCCTCCCTCTTTATCCATTTACCTGGACACCGTGAGGAAGCGCCAGGCTAGTAGTACAAATGAACTAGGAAACCCAAGAGCTGTGATCAAGGACCAGGGGCAGGAGAGACAAGGAAGGAGTCGGCTAACTCTTCCCACCACCTGCAGACAGGCCAAGCCTGAGGCCTGTGGCGGCTCACCACCTATGGCCCTACCCACCACCTACCGCCCTAGCCTAGACCCAGAATCCGGCCCTCGCCAGTGAGCGGCGCATGCGCACAGTGTCGCTCCGCGGGGCGCGAGCCGCGGCATAGCCTCGGCCGGCTCGAGCCGCAGGCTGCGCCAGGCCCCGCGCCGCCACACGCAGGAGCAGGGCCTCCCAACTCCGCAGCCGTGGCACCGCCCCCCAGGTTCTGAATTCCCGAATCACCTGGGTCCCGACCTTCGGGCTCGCACTTTCCGCTGATGTGCAAGCGCCGCGGACCTGGAAATGTTTCTGCAGATCAGGGCGCCACCGGCGTCCTCCAAACTTGCTTCAATTTAAGCTCAGCGCCTTCCTGGTTCCAGCGCCAGGCAGGGTCAGCCGAGCTGTCGAGTGCATCGATGCGGGTTGCCAGGCATTAGAATGCCGAGGGAGTAGATTGTCACGCCGCCTATTTTTTTGTTGAGGTGTTTGGGGGTTTTTTTCATGCTTTTATAACTAGATTTTCTTATTTCCAAAAAGCAATAAACGTGGGAATGGAGGATTTCACTGATCTAATAATCGCCATTATCGTCACAGATAATCAGTAAACAAATCTGCATTATACAAAGTTATGTTTAAGACACCCACATTTAGCATTTATTTGATATCTTATGGGGATGGAGGGACTCAACCAACAATAATAAATCACAGAAGTGTGTCTGTATAGGGTCGTATGTGATTAAACTGTAATGACTGATGTGCAGAAAATGCATCAAAAGTTGGTGTTTCGTCTGTCCTGAAGGTGAAGGGACTCACAAGTTGGGTACAAATTAGATTCTCAGATTAAAGTAGCTGGTTGAGAAAGAAATATGAGAAATCAGCCCAATGCGGAATGAGAAAGTTTCTTCTGGAAGAGAAATCAAATGTATAGGGTTTTACATTTTTAATTTAAGCCAATAGAAACTAAATCAATTTAGCATTTTTCTGTAATTTATACTACAACTACATTACTTATTTTTCCCTGCATGAAAATTATTTTTCCTTATTTATTGTAAGGAAACACGGCTAAGGCGATAAACTGTTAGCTTTGGTTTGGGTCGATTGTGAAACCAGTTCATTCACAACTGCTAGATAACCAAGCTACGGTTTTCCACAGACATTTTAATGGTGAAAATCACCTCCACAATATATTCTCATAAATAGCTGTACCTTAAGAAGCCAATTCTGGGGAATCGTTTTAATACTTAAATGCCAAATTACATGTTTGTTTTAAATAATTCAAGAGGTGGGGAGCCCTTGGGGTCCTGAATTTTATTGGAACCTGTATATCTGTCCACAGGCTGTCAGCTGAGCCTTGCCCTCGATGACTTTATTCCAAAACTGCTTTTTGAAATATCCTGTCTCTAAAATATATTTGCTCTTATGTGCAACAACATCAGTAGAGCATCATAGCATTTATTAGAATAAGGTTTTAAAACCTTGATTTAAAAAGAAAAATTTCCTTTAGCCTACTAAAAATCCGTGATTAGACACTAAATTTCTCATAGCTTCATCTGATATTAATACTAACATTCTTAAATTTAAAATAAGCCAATAAACTGAATTCATAGGAAAATCTATTGATCTGAATTATGCAACAGTTGTGTCTAGCCTTCCCTGATTACCCTTAAAGTGATCATTTTTCCTCAAACTTAGTAGATGACATATGAGTTCAGACTTAAGAGTCGTGGACCTAAAACAACAAAGTAGCTGGAGTGTCTCCTGATCCTGTATCAGACTTTAATGTGTGTTACAGTTATTTGTAAATTTGTGTTAACACCTCAGTTTGTGAGCTCTTGGGATACCAAATCTATAACTGGTCATTCTGCTAAGTAATCTCTAAAATGGAGTTTCATAATGACTAAAGTTTTATGATTAATCCTCTTTGATAATATCAGGATTAAAGTGTTTAAAAATAGCTGATCAAGACCCAATATGAAATCATGTTTTTAAATTCATATAACTTTGGGAATTTGAATATTTGAGTCCTGTGGAATAATAAAAGCAAGTAATCATATAATTAATTCTTAAAAACTGTTGTTACTGAAAGATCTTAATTATTTGTCATAAGAGTATCAAAAATGAAAACGTTTAAGAAGGACAGTTATCTTCAGAGAAAAAGCAAAGTAACATCTCTAAAAAGCATGATTTCATCTTCCATAAATTCACCAAATATGAACACTTTAATCAGAGTATTGTAATGTAACAAAGTTATATATAATCTCTAAGTACACATATTTGAAAAATCCTCGTGTTCTCCTTTTACAAATGCTTGAAGTTGTTTTGATTGAACTTCTCAAGGTATCTGCTAACTTATTTGTAAAAGATATACATATTAATGTTTTGTAATTGCTTTTATTTTACTATTGGACCAAGATAAGGAACAAAGTTCTTTAACATCAGAAAGATTGCATAAATATTCAGTGTTCTGTACTTGAAAAAGTCTTCAAAACCTCACTTAAAAATCTGTTTACACACTCAAGTAAATGTAACTTTGCATATATAAATATTTTTGTATTTGCAGGTATTTGCATAGCCTCACTTCTCACTGCAAGCCCTGCCCTGCACAATGTCAACAAATGAGTCGGGAATATAGATGTTCCTCCCATATAACCAACCATTTCCATGAAAATGGCCCAGAAATATCATTTTGAAATATTAAATCCTATCTTAGGAGGGGGCGAGAGCTTTCTTTCTTCCAGTCTTTTCGGGTAGTACACGATAAAAATAATTTGACGGGGCACAAATTTAATGTCGTTGTTTGCTTTTTCAAACTCGAAGGATAATCTTTTGTTTTTCAAAGTTAGGAAACCAACTACAGTGTTTCCCAGGAAGTTAAGAAATACACCGGGTGCAGGGAGTAAAAAGGGACAAGAGTGAGCATCCAGAGACCTCAAAGAGAAAACGAAGTCCAGCTGTCCTTGACCAGGCACTAAGGAAACACTTTAAAATGGGATCTGTCAGGGAACAGCTGCTTAGGAAACATGTTAAATCGACCGGCCCCTTCAAGTGGAATATGTCCACACAGAAGTGGGCTTTGACTTCAAGACGTGAGTAGTGGAATGAATGGTACGGACCTAGGCGAAGAGCTTGAACACCCGGGCTCAAACTGAATGCGGGCCAGGAATCTCCTAAAGGAGCACGTGTCGGAGACTGCAGAGAATTCTGACTCTGGGCAGGCTTGGGAGGCCAGGTTGATGTTGAGTGGTGAAGCTGCGGGGGGTCGAAGGGGGCAGAGATGCAGGATTGGGATGCGGGACGGAGATGCAGGGCCTACTAATTGCTGGGTGCCTGATGCAGCGCAAAGACCAGGGCTCAGCATCTTGCGGCCGGGCAGCTGCGGAGCACCCTGACACCGAGGGAGGCTACGTAGGGTCGTATACAGGACACCAGACTGATCCAGGAGCCGCGCACTTGTCTGTTTCCTCTTGGCCCCGCCCCCCCCGGAGTCCATCCAGCTCCCCAGTGTTTAACTAAATAGTGACACCAACGCACAATCCACGCCTAATTAAATTAATTAGGAATTATTGTCAATCCTGGATTAATGACCAAGACCACTGGCGGCCGAGGCTATCTGAAAACCCGAACCGCCGGGGACCTGCCGCCTCTCTCCACCCCGTCTAGCCTCCCCAGCTGCCCTCCCACTCCAGCGCCCCGACTCCATCCTGCGCTCTCTCTCGCTCCCCGTCCCTCTCCCCTCTCTCTCCTCTCTCAGTCTGTCTCTCTCTCTCTGTCTCCCCCTTCCCTCTCCCTCTCTCTTCCTCCTCTTCCTCTTTCCCTCCCTCTTTCCCCACCCCACCCCCCACGTAGTGGCGTGGCTGCTACCCGGGAAGGGGCTCACTCGGAGTTGCAAGGGGAGGTAATTTACTCAGAACAAGGGGCCGCCTTTTGGAAGTATAAATAGTGAGACTTCAAGCGCAGCGTCACTATCAGATCTGAACTCTCCCCGGGAAGAATTGTCAAAGATCTTAACACTGAACAAGCGCGCTCCGGCGGGGAAGCCTCAGTTCCCTTTTCCCTCCTGCGGCCCCCGCCCCTTCTCGCCTCCTCCTCCCCCTTCCTCGTCCTCCTCCTCCTCCTCTTCTTCTTCTTACTTCTTTTTCTCCTTCTACTTCTCCTCCTCTTTCTTCTTTCTTCTCTTCTTCTTTTTCTTCTTCTTCCTCCTCCCTCTCCTCCTCCACCCCCTGCCCCATTGATGTGTTATTATTGGGGGGGCTGGAGCAGTAAAAAACGAAGAAGGAAAAAAAGAGCGGGGCTCAGCAGGGTGAGGTTGAGCGCGGGGCTGACCAGAGGCTTCGGCGATGGAAGAACTTACGGCGTTCGTCTCCAAGTCTTTTGACCAGAAAGTGAAGGAGAAGAAGGAGGCCATCACGTACCGGGAGGTGCTGGAAAGCGGGCCACTGCGCGGAGCCAAGGAGCCAAGCGGCTGCGCTGAGCCGGGCCGAGACGACCGCAGCAGCCCCGCAGTCCGGGCGGCCGGCGGAGGCGGCGGCGGCGGAGGAGGCGGAGGCGGAGGAGGCGGAGGAGGTGCAGGAGGAGGAGGAGGAGCAGGCGGAGGAGCTGGAGGAGGGCGCTCTCCCGTCCGGGAGCTGGACATGGGCGCCGCGGAGAGGAGCAGAGAGCCCGGCAGCCCGCGGCTTACCGAGGGTAACGGTCCGACCCCGGCCCGGCCGCGGTTCCCCTTCCCGCCTTCTCTCCTCCTCTTGGGCGGGAATGGACCCTGAGGCCCAGCAGAGAGGGGTCCATACGCAGAGAAGGGCCGGGATCTAGCTCTGCAAACTAGAGTGATGGTGGAGGGGTGGGAGTTCATGGTGTACACGGTCGTGGGTGGGGTCCTAGTGTGGGGAAAGGCGTGGGAGATTTGTGCGCATCCTTCCCGGATGCTCCCATTGCACAGAAATGCGTTTTTCACCAGCTGGATCTTGGGTCAGCAGTCCAGTCGGCCCGCGGGCGGGCGTGGAAGTACTCAGGATCTGGCTGAGGGGAGTAGTGCTGGGCTGTGGCTGGACCCTGGGCCAGATTAAGGCTAACAGCTAGCCTGGAGTTCGCGGGAACCTCTTCCCTAGGCTTCAGAGAGGGTAGGAGGGAAAGAGGGAAGGCAGAAGAGAGAGAGACTGACGGACTGAGACTGACTTCGCCCTAATTCGCCCTCGGGGTTTGGAGCTGCCCTTAGGACATTTCAAACTCAAACGAAAGAGTCGGAATGTCTGGATCATAGGGACCCAAACTTCCCACTCCTTTTGAAGTATGAAAGAAGAGCGAAGGCCAGGCAGGCTAAGAGCTAGGCTTGGTTGCGTTTTCCCGGCTGAGACGAGACGTCTCGGTTGCTATTCAGGGATTGGAGGTGGATGTTGTGTTTTAATATTTACACCTTTCCTTTACTGCTTTTAATCATCTATTATTCTGGTCGTGTGTGTGTGTGTGTGTGTGTGTGTGTGTGTGTTAGGGGATGGGGTGATTCTTTGGTGCCAACGAAGAATTAGTTAGGAAATGGGTTTATCTAAACGGTGGAGCGTCCTGTACCAAGTCAAAGGAGTTCAACAATAAAATTAATTTGGCACTTGGTGCTGAGGTAAGTGTTGTACTGCCATATTTTTCCAATTAAGAAAATATGTGGCATGCTTAGAATCACATATTTAAGCAAGCAATTAAGTTGTTTATAACACAGTCTGTTCTTGTTCAGCCCATTAAGTGGAAATTTGGGGACAAAATAGAAATTATATTAAGTCTGTTAATCAACTTGAAATTTAAACTTTTCTCGTTGATGCCCCAAAACTTTGAGGGCTTCCGCTGTGTGAATGACAAAACATAGACAAAGCATTCCCACCCATTTTGCAGAATCAAAAGTGTATGTTTTCTGGTTGAAATGTAACTACAATATCAATGGGAATATTTTCCTATTAAATTGACCTGTCCTGTTTATTATAATATTATCTACTTCATTCCTGGACAAAAGACAAATGTCCACAAAGTGAACTCAGAACTTGAAATTAATGCAACACTTAAGATTACCTTAGCTAGAATGCCAGGCTGAGTTGAGCTCTCCAGACTCTTCACCTAGATCCCATACCACATTCTCCTAAATTTGAAAAGTAATGAGGTAACTGTCAGGAAGGCCTAGTGCAGTCTCCCAACCTTGGGTTCACAATTCCAGGCCCTAGATTTGCCTGTGCATCAGATGGCATAGTTCAAGTCTGAAGCCTGGGCAGGCATAGTTCCTGGTATTGTTGATTTTCAAGCTCAGGGCAGATTTTAATTTCTCTGAAGACTGACTCTTTTGGAAAGGATTTTTAATACCCACATTGATCAAGATCCTGGGTTGGAAAGAACTGCAAACAGCCTCGACTATATAAACTCAACACAGGTAGTTTAAATATAGGAGTTTGTCACAGAAGATGAAGGATCCGGGACCTTAAATTGATAAGGCTGTCTCCCCATCACTGTCCCTTGGCCAAGATGTAGATATTAACATCTATCGGGTGGCCCCATCACTGGGTGGCTGAATGCTCACCTTGCAGAGCTCCTATTTTTAAAGGAAAGAGGACAGCAAAGTAACAGCGGATGTGTGCGAACAGAGCAGAGAAAATGCATATTTTATTAAACATTCGAGCTGCTGGGTGCATGAAAAGGCTTTAAGCAACCAATAGAAACCGAGGATCGGGAATGTTCTCTTGAACCTGTTGATCTCTGTGGGTTTAAGCTTTTAGGGTCCAGTCTGCGTTTCCACCAGGGAGGGAGAAGGGCAGAACTGAAGCAGCCGTGGGTTTCGCGGACCACCCGCGGCTGGTTTTCCGCCCTTTGCCTTTTGGCCCTGAGTGGGAGGCGAGCCCTCCAGGCCGCCAACATGGCGTGGGCGCCTGTGCTTAAGCAACTTGGGTCCGGCAGGGGGGACGGAAACTGTTTGGCCGCCGGTGAAACCATCCGTAGGGTCTGACCCGAACCCTGGGGCAACGCGGTCACCGGGAGAAGCGGCTGCAGCGCAGCACCGGTATCTTGTTCCCCGCTGCGACCCTTCCGCCCAGTTGTCCCTAAATTAGATCAGCAAGTTTGTGGGAGTCAAAGGAGCAGAGACAGGGAGAGGTGGCCTAACAAGGGGCCAGCCCGCTGGGAACGGCTGACGTGAAAGGCCAGTGCGTGGCCTCTCCGCGCTCTTCTACCAAGACCGCGCTTCGGGAGAGGCCCGGCGCGGCGCTTGTGATTTCTGTGAGTGTGTGGGAGAGAGTGAGTTCGAGAGAAGATGGGTGGAATGTATTTGGTGTTCGAAAGGGAGGGCAGGGGACCATGGGATGATAGCGAAGGGATGGGCTGAGGAGTGGGTGGCCATGTGTCCACCTTGGCCCGCCGGCAGCCATGCAGGCATGACCTTTGCATATCTCCAGAATCCTCATCCCTTGCAGGATGAGGGGCTGGATCGGATTCTGGGAGGGGGTAGGATCTTCTGCCTTTCTTGAGACAAATTTAGTAACTAGATTTGCTGTGCTGTTTTTGTTCGTGTGTGTGTGTGTGTGTGTGTGGGTGTGTGTGTGGGTGTGGGTGTGTGGGTATGTGGATGCACGCATGGGTCTGGTCCGTGGCACCCTCCTCCAGTGTCCCCCGAGTTGAAGGATCGCAAAGAGGATGCGAAAGGGATGGAGGACGAAGGCCAGACCAAAATCAAGCAGAGACGAAGTCGGACCAATTTCACCCTGGAACAACTCAATGAGCTGGAGAGGCTTTTTGACGAGACCCACTATCCGGACGCCTTCATGCGCGAGGAACTGAGCCAGAGACTGGGGCTCTCAGAGGCCCGAGTGCAGGTACCAGACTTCCAGGAGGTCGAGGGTGGGCCCAGGGAGCGAAGACCCGATACACCGGGGTTGAGAGGCAGCTTGGTTCAAGGGCCTGGTGTGGAATGAGAAGGGGAGGGATATTTTTACTATAGGTCTTATTTTGTAAAGTAGATCTTAGTCCTATACCCCCAGTCCCAACATATGTTCTCTGCAGAAGAAAGCAGTGCTGGGCTTGTTCCCAGAGTTTCTATAAACCACACCCCCTCGCCTCGAGCTGGCTTTAATGTGGTTTAATCCTAATGGGCCTACTTTTATAAGCCTTAAAAAAAATCCCACAGAAAACGTTTTATCTCTGGATGCCTTAAAAGTTACAACAAGTATTTTGCTTGCCTGAATTGGGTTTCCTTGAAAGTCTGCTCTGGGGGACTAGGTTTGCCAACCGGATATCCCAATTAGGTTTATAGATGTACAGGCTATAAAGAAAATTAGCAACTGTTACATGCAGAAATTTACAGTCTACTGTTAGCGCTTGATATCAAACTGTGTGTAAAACAGCAGAAAAATGAATGTGTTTTGGTAACTCTTTGTTCACTTAACCAAAGCAATGAACCTGGAACTCAATTTTAAAACGACCCACATATCTTAATAGTGGCATTTTCAAAACCTGACCCCTAGCAAATGTCATACACCATGAAGTTAAGATTACAGCAGATTTTCTTTATTGGTTGTTGAGGTGAATGTAATAGCAAAAGTAGGCTTTGGGGGCAATTAAGGAGGAAAATTATATACATACATGTATACACATCCTTCCAGCTTTATGGGGAACAAATTTAAAGGTTTCAGATTGTATTTCCGCTCAAATAATAAAATAGGAGAAAATGATGGTCATTATTTGTTGGAACACATGGAGCAGTTTTAGGCTGGAACATCTGCAGCTGTTTCAAAGTATCGCTGTAACAGATACTCCTGGGTCTCTGGTCGCAGAGACCACCATCTGTACCGAACTATGCGCAATTCTTAAGGGGCTTCTCCGCATCTTGTAATAGGATCAGGGAAAAAACCCAGCAGTAATGTTGAAGGAGAAAAGTAATAATAGGCTGCCTTGGTCATCACAGCGTCAACAACAGAGCCTTCCTTTTAAAGCTTCTCCTGATTTGCTCTGTGCTCTGAGATCTCTAGAGGCATAGCAGCTCCTTGAAACCGTGATAATTATTACGGTTATGAGTAATAGTATCTCAATTCCAACTCTTCTAGGAAAAAAGAGTCAAGAAGCCTCAGGCCATGTGAGTTACACAAAGAATGCCACCCTGGCATGAAATCTACCCTTCTATTATACTAAATAGCAGGGGAATTTTTGAAGATACACATTGACTATGGCACTTGCTTTTAAAAACATACCAGAGAAAGCTTTAAAGGAATATTTTCCTTTTATGGGGTTTTAAAACCTTAATTTGTAAATCAATCAATATGCTGTACTATTGGAGCTGGAGTATAAAAGCAAGCTTTACTTGAATTTTTAAAAAATCTGTCATACTGCATCTAAAAGTTGCAAGTTATTTAAGAGGATAAAGAGAAGATAGTACCCAGGAGCTACTCGATTCATACCCCAATCTCCTTTCATGAAGTGCTCCTCTTTTTGTCTCAAGAAGTTAACTTTATTTTGGCCTTTATTTCTTCTACACTTTTATTTAGGTTTTAGAGCTATTTCCTAGAAGCACCCTTTCTGTCCTAACTGAAAACAGTGGCTTTTTCTTTAGGAACAAATTAGATTATCATGATAATGGCACAATTATTCAGCTACTGTGTTACACTCTGCTGCACAGAGGAACAGAGAAATTCTAAACTTCTTTGTAGTAGGGCTTTTATGACACTAATTACCTCTCTCCCCTTACAAGCTCCTCCCCCCACAGTCACTATTTGCTTTAGTGTTTGGTTTTTCCTCAAGATGAGCTAATTAATATTATAGGCTATTACTGAGTCCATTCTTCACAGGTCTTAACTGGGCAAACATTTATACCCATTATGACATTGGTGTTAGGTATGAGAGAGTTTCAGGCCTTGGGGACTCTGTTGCATGGAAAGATGAAACCAGGACTAATAGTGATTTACCAAGGAACAATTTTTATTTCATAAAAGTTTTTGAAATCTTTCTTTTTTGTACTTCATTTACATTTTTATCTTGGAAACGAAGGCTGTTTTATATAATCGAAAGACTGCTTATTGTATCTCTTAAGCCTTGCCTAAAACATTAATCTTTTTATTGAATTCTTATAGTTTAAAACTTTTTTTAGCATAACATCTAGGTTTTTTTTTCTCCCTTTCAACTTGTAGGTTTGGTTTCAAAATCGAAGAGCTAAGTGTAGAAAACAAGAAAATCAACTCCATAAAGGTATGCTTCTGATACAAGGAACACTTGCTATTATAAATAAAGAGAAGTGGGAGAATATTGTTAATACAAAGATAGAAAAATATCTTAAAAATAATAATTGTCCTTGATTTCAGAGACTTCTTTAAAACAGTTAATTAAAGTCCTAAAGTTTGAGAGTCAATTATATTTATTTTAATTATGACAGCAGTTTAGAAAGGTAACAGTCAAATTCCAAAGGAATCTATCTTGGCATCATTTGAAACCCTAGAAAACAACACTAGAAATGTTAATCTCATAGTATTGTATTTTGTTCTATTCTTTACAGGTGTTCTTATAGGGGCGGCTAGCCAATTTGAAGCTTGTAGAGTTGCACCCTATGTTAATGTAGGTGCTTTAAGGATGCCATTTCAGCAGGTAAGTATAGCTAGCATATAAACTGTTTTTAAATGTAAAAATACCTGGATGTTTGCTTGGAGTATTGAATATCCCCTATGAGCCTAATGTCCATGCAGTTGAAGAATTGATTTCAAGGTGATATAGTGAACCCTTTCCCCTTTAAAAATCTATATAATATCATGGTACCAAATGCTGATTCTTTTCTGTTTTCATAGAAACCCCTCAGGGTCCTGAGGACAGGAACTGGTCCTTTAAAAAATGCACTAAAAATTGCACTTGGGGAGAGAATGGAAATGCCTTTTGATTAAGATTTTGTCAAATCTAATACAGAGGATATAGTCCTAAGGTATTTCACAGGCAACCCTCTATTTTCTAGGTATTTTCTATCTCTTGGTCACATTACATGTCTCTAGCAGAAGAAAAAAAAAACAAGTATGCCCAACTCAGACTTGTTTTTTTTTTCTTCTCAGACTTGTTTTTACAAAGCTATCTCTGCAAACAAAACTTCATATATAATGAAGAGGGAAGACTTGGTCTTCACAGGGCTGCCCTGTCTCTGCAATCCCTTTCTTAGCCTTTAAGAGTAGATTTTTTAAAGGACAGCCTGAAGCAATGGTTTAATCCTGGGAAATCCCAGTGCTCTGAACTCCCCACTCTTCAAGCCTAAGGGCAAAATCCTTTCCCAACCAGTGCCTGACCTTCCCCATCCTTAGCTAGGACCCCTGCTTGGCACAACTGTGATGTCTTGAATTAGTTCTGTCACCAGCACCCTGAATTGGGAAGGTACCTAGGTATGCACATGTACTGAGAGTAAGTGGTAGGGAGATGTTAGCTCTCTTGCCACCACAGGATTTTGGCATCCTGATTTGGAAGTTTTGAAAAAGAATTTTTGGAGAAAGAGGAAAGGAAACTAGTACTACTCAGAAGGTGGAGATTTTCAGGCCAGCAGAACCACACCACTTGGAAGATTGTTAGAAATTTAAAGCCTCAGGACCCAACCTAGACCTTTTGATTCAGAATCTGCATTTTAAAGATTTCTAGATAATTCTGGTGGTGCTAAAAGTTAGAGGAGTATTGCTGACTCACAATTATGCCAATCGTGAAGATACAATTTTATCCTACTAAGTCACCTAAAGAAGTTCTGCTTGGTGGTACTAAAGTGCTTTAGTAGTGTGGCACAAGAGATGTATGGCAGAGTAAGGAGCGAAAGGTAATGGCCCTCCCTCCGAGCCTTTTAAGCATACTATTGTGACTTTAAGATGAGTGATGTTTTAACACTGCAGTCGCCCACTCACTCGCCCAGGTCTCGAGGGGGCAGCACGTTCCTGCAGACAGGTGTCCAGGCCCAAGGAAATAAGCCCAAGCTAGAGGAGTTTTGAGAACTCGTGGGCACTAAAATATCCGTGTGGCCCCTCAGGTTCAGCAACAAGCTGAGAAATTCACCCTCCAGATAAGTTGCTCAGCCAAACGCCCCTTCCTCGTTCCCCTGCCCCAACCTTTCCCCTAGCCAAGCTGGACGCCGTTAATGCTCTGTTTCTATTCTGTTGTCACCCTAGGATAGTCATTGCAACGTGACGCCCTTGTCCTTTCAGGTTCAGGCGCAGCTGCAGCTGGACAGCGCCGTGGCGCACGCGCACCACCACCTGCATCCGCACCTGGCCGCGCACGCGCCCTATATGATGTTCCCGGCGCCTCCCTTCGGACTGCCGCTTGCCACTCTGGCCGCGGACTCGGCCTCCGCCGCTTCAGTAGTGGCTGCGGCAGCCGCTGCCAAAACCACCAGCAAGAACTCCAGCATCGCCGATCTCAGACTGAAAGCCAAAAAGCACGCGGCCGCCTTGGGTCTGTGACGCCAACGCAAGGGCCAACGTTTGCGCCTCCGAGCGGGGCCCACCCTGCCCTCCCTCCGCGCCCTGCTGCTTCTCGGTCACCCCCTCAGAGCTCCGGAGCCAACCCTCTTTCCGCCCCGCTGGCCGTCCCTCTCTCTCTGCATCCCGGACTCGGAGGGCAGGACTCTGCGCGGGACCCGGGATCCCACTCGGCGCCAGCGTACCATCCCCGTGGCACCTTCCCGTATTACCCACAGGCCTAGAATTTGGCTAAGTAGGAGCAGGTTTGGGGAAGTCTGGAGAGAGACTGGGTGACAAGGGAGTGCTGGGACCGCTGAGTGTGGCTCGTGGCAAAGCTGCAGCGATGGACTCTTGCGTAGAAAAAATCTTGTTGATTTAAAAAGAAAAAATAGAAAAGACAAACCAGAAAGGAAAAAAGAGAATGGGAGCTTATTTCTTATTGATATTTGACATAAGCTGCAATCGGAGAGAGAACGACGGAAAAAAACAGTTTTAAAAAATTAAAGTATTTTATACATTTAAAAATATGGAAAAATAACCTGGACAAATCTCGAGAGAATGGGGGGGGGATGTACCAAGTTAAATGAATGGTTTTTTAATGAGCTAAAACGGCAAAACAGAAGGAAGAGGTATACTTATTTAAAGATTAAGATGAAAAAAGTGCGCAGCTGGGAAGTTCACAGGTTTTGAAACTGACCTTTTTCTGCGAAGTTCACTTTAATACGAGAAATTTGATAAGAGAGGCGGGCCTCCTTTTACGTTGAATCAGATGCTTTGAGTTTAAACCCATCATGTATGGAAGAGTAAGAAGAGGGAAGACAGTATGAAGACAAAGGGGGAAAAATGATGTTAATACAAAAAAAAAAAAAAACCCAATGCCACAGACAATGATTCCTCTGAGAAATTATTATGGCAGAACTGTCCGAACTGCTGACAATGAATTCTGGTTTGCATGTTACTTGTATTCCATTGATGGTGTTCCCCCCTCCCCTTACTCACGTGCACTCAACCCCATTTTCATCTTCAGTAGGAAAAGCATCCGGGAATTGATACACATCCATATATCTTCTTTGCCGTGTCTTTGATCCTGGGGGGTTAAAAGAAAAAAAAAGTCAAAAGGGGGAAAATTTACACTGATTGTCCCAAAAAGATAGAGATGGGCAGAAAATGCGGGTACAGGAAAAAGAAAACAGGAAGATCAAATGAAGTAATGAAGATACACCACCTTGTATAGTGCGTGACACATAGTAGGCACTCAGTCAGTGTTAGCTCACTCCACTGTCTTTTTCTTGTATTCCCTCTGGCTGGTTTCCTGAAGTCCTATTTGAGGACAGTGCTTTATTTCTCCCCTGTTTATCCCCTAAAATTTACCTTAAATAACACCCAGCTAGGTACAGGTACTAGGTTTGTGTAAAATATGTTGATACACACGAACAAAATTTATTTTGGCTATAATGTGTGAACTGATGGTTGACTTTCAACACTTGCATTTTATTCCACAAAGGTGTATCTATTCATGTAATCTTTTGTTGTTGTTATTGTTTTAATTCGTGTAGCTATTTAAACCAGGATGCCCTGGACTAAGCAATCTGTATCCCAGTTCTCTAGCAAGTCTCCTTAGTTTTTTTTTTTCTTCTAATTTACAAGAAAGAGGAAAAGCTCTTCTAACTGAACTTTGGTATGCAGTTGAGCTTTGTAACTATTTGTTCTCCATGAAAACAAAATTATTTATATTTGCCATATTTTTTCTAGTGTATTAAGTTATTTTAAACAAAAGATGCTGTTATCTCATGACGTGTTGTCAGTACAAAATTTTCGGCTTCACCTCTGTTAAATCTTTTTAAATAAGTGCCAAGTTATTAATCGAAGACACTTTGCGATCAATTGAATGAAAATAGTATTGTTTTATTTGATGGGGTTCGCGTCATCTTTGTTCCAGTTACTATTAAAATATCCAGGATGGTGTCTCCTTCTTCCTTTTTTCCCCCCCTTCTCCCTTTTTGATGAACCCCCCCCCCAATTTAAAAAAGCTTCCTCTACTCCAAACCTGCCACAGTCAAGGGGCTGTGAGCAGGGTGCTTCTGGGTGCTCTAGCGCTGAGAGCATCTTTTCTTTTGTCACCGCGTTATGCACCCCGGTAGAAACTGGATTATAACGAGTCAATAAGGGATCAGATAATAAGTAAAATAACATCGAAAATAACCCTTCTTCAAGGCAGTTTCTCGTTCTTCATATTGTTATTTTTTCACCTTTGAAATTTATTCGGGGACATTTTAGGAGGAAGAAAAGAGGTATCACACGAAATCCATCTGGGTTTGGTATGTGTGACATAATCAACAGCCAGTCCCAGGTAGCTGAGCCTCCCCGGAGCGGGGCAAATGCTGGATTGGGAGTGGGAGGCAAGACGCGGAGGGGAGAGGGGCACTGTGGAGGAAGGATCCCCCACCTCTTCTGTTTAGCGCTTTGGCCGGAGCAGTTTCGTTAGTTCTGTTTAGGAGAGAAGAAACCAGAACAGTACTGAGGAAAAGTCTTAACAGTCCGTAGACTACGGGGAAGCTCCATTTCCCCATTTCATAGGCCCTCTTCTCATGGCGGGGGATCTTACTATTAAAGCTTGAAGGCCCTGCCTCTTAGAAGGTGGGCAAAAGACTTGAAGACCCAGCCCTGGCCAGGCCTGAGGAGGGACGTCCTGCGCTGGGCTCTTGGGATTTGGGGAACCACTGTAAAGACTGGGGGTGTCCCGAGCGTCCCAGGCCAGCCATACTTTCCGGATCAAAGGGAACTTGGGGACCCCCTGTAGCAGTCCTCCCTAACGTAGTCGTCCAGCCTTCTCCTCGTCTGAGGGCGAAATCATAGCTGCCCCTCAGCCTAGACGTGGGCGATTCTTTCCTCTCTTAGTTTCCAGAGACTTAACAGAACTTGCTTGGTTCCCCTATTGGGCGCTCAAGCCTTGCTGGTTTCCCCGTTGATGAACGTCGTCGTTTTTACAACAAACATCTTACTGGGGGCGTGGTGCGCCCTGAAGTGTCTGCGTCTCACACCTCGGCCCTGTGGCCGCCGGTGAGCTCGCGTTTGCGCTGATGCTCGGGGAGTGAACCCGCGGGCTCCAAGCCCCAACCCTAACCCAGACCCCTGGGCGGGCTCCGGTTCCCCGAGACCCCTGAGGGAGGCCAGAGGTCAAGGGAGAAGAACGTGGTAGGGGACGTGGCGTTTCCGTCCCGGGCCCACCCAGTGCCCCCCGAAGACGAGCTCAGGGGAAGCCCTAGGTCACAGGAGGCGGCGCGGCCAGGTCCAGCCGGCGGAGGCGCCCGCAATCACCGCACCTCGGTCGGTCTGGAATTGTCCACTGCAGGAGCCGGGCCTGGCATGGAGTCCCGCGAGGGTGGAGCTGGGAGGGAGTGCAGTGGGTGAAGGGCTGCAGGGACAGCTCTGTCCCTTGACAAAGGCCTTCGTCTGGGCCAGATTGGCGGTAAGAGCAGGGTGCGGTCTGTCGGACCCGGACTCCAGAGAACCCCAAGGTTCCCTCCTGCTTGTTCTTCCCTAAGACTCTAGGAGGGCAGAGGCCGCTTTCTCTACCCCTAGGTCCGGTCCTTCAGCTCCAGGTTCCCACACTTGCTCACGCAGAGCTCACTTGCCCCGATAACCAGGGCCCAACCTCTCAGGCAGGCCCCTGGTGCCCCAGGTCCCAAACCCCCAGTTCCCTCAACAATCCAGAGAAGGGGTCTGAGGAAGTGTTCACTTTATTTTTATTTATTTATTTGTTTGTTTGTTTGTTTGTTTATTTTTGGTACTGGGGGTCGAACTCGGGCTCTTGCAAGTGTTCACTTTAAATAAGGCCCGAACAGGGGTAGTGTTCTGGTCAAAATTCAATAATTAGTAAGAGTCCAGAGTATAAAATCTGTGCTTAGGGAAAACTGAGTTTAAAAAGATTATTCAAGACATGATTAGTGTTAAGGACTCTGTTATTCAAGAGTCCCAGTAAAATGGGAAGCCTTTGCTTGGAACTGAATCCATATACATCTATTTTGAGTCTCCCCCCAGATTTATAACTTTTTAGATCCTCAGATGGTAATACTTTAGTATAATGCAGTACTCAAATTCAGAACTATTTTGATTTCTGAAAAATGCCTTTTTGGCTTCAACAACATGGGATCCTGTTTTTTCTTCCCAAATCAGTTTACATCATAAATTGCAAACATTTGCTATAAGATCTCAAGATTATTTATTTTACATAACCTCAAGCGCTTGACTATGTTAAACACCAGTACAGAAAGTCTGTGAAATCAGTTTAATGTGTGTCAGGGAATTAAAGGATCACTCCTTCTCATCACATAAACAAAGCATTTAACATTGTTTTGATTGTCATTCTTCCAATTTTAAAGTCTTACAATTGACTATTAATTTTAGAGTCATTCTGTGCAAAAATAATTACTAAAGTTATATCCTGCTTTAATTAAATGTTTCTGGGCAGAAGAAAATGGTATTCTACTTTGGGAAGTGGGTGATTGTTTTCAACATATTATTTTAGCTCAAACATAAATAAAAGTCTGCAAATTCCAATGGGGGAAAAAGGTTGGAAATCGTCTCTTACTGTGCCATTAGAACAGTTAGTGAGAATGCATTAAAGCAACATCACAAACCCAGAAATAATAAATATGTCATTCTAATGAGAGTGTTAGCTTAGGGACAATTTATTCAAGGTAGTTTTTACATTTTACATGCAGTGTCTTATTATGACCTGGCTAACTACTGTGATACTTGTTCTTCAAAATATAATTTATATAGGCTTGGGATATACATAATTCATAACTCCTGTTGATATATATATATACACACCCCGAACTTTAAATCTTTACAGTATGTTTAGATGTTTACTGGCATGTTTTTAAGACAACTGAAATAAAAAGATTAAAAGTGTTAAACATTGTATTGAAAGTAAGTTGTTGACCTATGCCCAAAGAAAAAGTAGTTGAAAATGAAAAATTTAAAAAGGATTAGATAATTTTCAAGCTCAGGTGTAGAGTGAACCTGAAATATTTCAAACCAGGAAACATCCTTGTATAAGAAATATGAAAATCTCCAAGAAAGACTTACAGATGTGAATATATAATACTGCTGATGTCTAGGCAATCCTTTCATGTCTCTAATTCATGAAACAAAACAAAAATCCTCAAGTCTTGGAGTATTTTGCTTTGAGTATTTTATGCATCAGTCGAGGTAACAATTGCATATGCCTTCAGTACTGGAAAATTTAGTATAGTACTTACATGGAGTTCTATCAAAGGTTTTAGAATGCAATCAAATAAATCACATAGGGAGGAATAAGCACACTTCTTTTTTCTTATTGAACAAACCACTCACATATCCTGAGCAAGGATCTTTGTAGACTCTTATTCAAGCAAAATAGTTTGTGGTTAAGATTATACATTCTGGAACCATACTTCCTGGATTCAAACCTCACTGCTGCCATTGTGATTTTAGATGAGACAATCTTTCTGTGCCTTAGTTTCCTTATCTGTAAATGGGGATAAAAATATCTGTCTCATGGAGTTGTGAGGAAGAATAAACAAGCTAATATTTTTAAAAAGTTAATATTTGTAAATCCCTTAGAACTGCATCTTGCACATGTAGGCTAAGCAATAAATAATAATTTTTTGAAGTCCAATAAGCATTAATGTTTATAATAAAAACCTTAGAATAAAATAAAGTACTGCAAGGTAAAGAGTGAATATTTTTGTGGGCAAAAGGAAAACATTGCTTATAATTTTATGATTCTAGCTAATTGCTTAGCCTCAGTGAGTCTCATCAGAGAGATGTGGTAAATGTTACTGTGTAGCTAGTAGACTTACCTACAAAAGCAATTTATAGGTAATATTATACT